AAGAAGAAGAAGAAAAAAAACTATTTTCTTTTATTATGCGTAGGAAACGTTCTGGAAGGATATATTGGTGAAGAGAGTAAGATGTGGGACTAGGGAATAGAGACATGTATGACCTTTGTCTTTTATGCTACATAATTCTGGATTATTATAATTTTTAATAGAGCAGACATCTATGTATTTTCTTAGTTAACATTCAATATACTCATTAAACAACTCATGAACTAGCCCATAATATTGGTTACCTTATATTAGAATGATAGAAATATTAGATATACATAGATATTAGAACAATATAAATAAAACCAGTGAATAAAAAAGAGTGACCAAAAGCTAAATGGAAAGATTTACTCATTATACAACTACTAAAAAGCAGGAAAGATGGTAGAAAAATGTTGTGATCTCATTATGCAAAGTAACAGTACAGTCTTAGAAGACTAAAAATTGCACATATGCGACTTGTCACTGGTGCCTGTCTGGCAAGGTCCCACAGGCTCGTGCCCAAATCTGGACCCACTGAAACACCTGCCCTCTCGTTCTCAGGATAGGCATACACACCTGCACATACACCAAAGCAGACACCCCAGGGGCCCAGCCAGCCAACACACTCGGGTACAGAACACAGACACCTAGGCCTGCACCCAAATAAGCAAGTTCAGGGTGAGGTGTAATTGCCAGGGGAGGGCCCCCTATGTCTCTGGGCAAGGGGCTGGGCCCCTTCTGCAGTTCCAAGTGAGCCTCCCAGCTGCACCCAACTCTGGGTCCAGGTCTCACCCGGGCCTCTCAGTCTTTTGTGCGTCTCTCCTGCATCCCAGGGATCCGCACACACACGCATGTACACACAAACACACACACAGACATACAGAGGCATGTGCTCTCTGTCTCTTTCTAAAACCAGCATGTCAGGGACTATCCATGCTCTCCCCATTTCGTGGATGAGAAGACAGAAGCCTAGGGTAGAGAGCAGTCGCTCTCATGGTTACCAACACCTTAGTGACAAAGCAAAGCCAGACAGTACACAGGTGCCTGTCTCTCGGCCTGAGCTAAGGTGTCTTTCCCACTAGGACAACTGGATCCCACCAGGGAAGCTGGGGCCTTCCAAAGGCATCATAAGACATCCAAGCAGCCAGGCACCCCTGGCTGTCTCCCTGTCTACTGCCTGTCTGAGGAGTTTGGGCTGAGGTCTGTCCAAGCCCCAGCCACTCTGTCAAGTCCCCAGAACACAGCTGCCCACACAACACCCCCCAGCTGCTGCGTTCTTTCCTACCCTGGACTCCCTGCACTTCCCCCCCAACTCCTCCTTCAGCCCTGTTTCTGAAAGCCAGGACATACCTCTGTGTGGCCGGCCGGAGCAGGGCCAGCCTGGCCAGCCAGCCTCCTTCTGGAGCCTCCAGCCAGCAGGGAGCCTCACGCCCTTCCTATTTATGCTTCTGTTAGGAAACAGAGAAGCAGAAAGAGGAAGTGATGCTGGCCCAAGACTTTTTGCACAAATGACTTTTCATAAGCATCACTCTGCTTCTTAGAACTGTCGACGTGACTTTGCTGAAAATGCATGTGACTTTTATTTCTGTCAGAAGAGCTTCTACCCCACTTCAACTCCCTATAAACTCCTACACATAATTGAAGCCTCAGCTCACACAGGGCCTCCTCCTCCACGCAGCCTTCCCTGACGCCCCTGTGGGGATGCAGAGGAAGGGGGCTGCAATAACCATGGCCAGTGCGAGCCCAGAGCCAGCCAGATCTTGGCTGGCCTCCCAAGTCCATTACATCTTGCAGTGTGACCTTATGCAAGTCACCCGCAAGTAAGTTCTCCAAGTCTGGGCGACTTCATCTGTTATGTTCACAGAAGTATCTCCAACCTGGAAGGACTGTGGCAGGAATCTAGTGACATGCAGCGTGGGAAGATCTCAGCCCAGAGCTGGCTGCGGGAAAAACCCCTCAAGGGGGTAACCGGGGCGCTAGGAGTCCCCAGGTGTCCTCTTTTGCCTTGTCCCTCCCTTGTGCCTATCAGTCATGCGTGTTCATGATTGTCTTTCTCCAACACTGTCTTCAGGGCTGGCTTGTGTCTGTCTGCCCAGTACCCAGCATGTGGCCAGTGCAGAGGAGACCCTCAGTGAATGTGTGACATGAACGGGTGAGTAAATGAATGACTATCTCCCTGAGCACAGTAGGGCTGGTGGAGTTAAGGCAAAGGTGAGTGAGATGTGCACTCTCTCTCTCTTTCTCTCTCTGTTGTAAAATTTGAGGAGGCATCCCCAAATCCAGTAATCAAATCGTCTTTTGATGCAATGTGGTAAAAAAAAAATCAAAATTAGTACAAAAAGGATCCATGGTGAACTAACTGTTAAAACTTTAAATAAAGAAGGTTCTGGTCACAGTGTCCCACTGGGCCATAACAGAATCTGGGGCAAAAGAAAACGCCATCCTATTTATTCTGTATGGAGAGGAGGACCCCTGCCGAGGGAAAGGGGACAGTGGCAGACTGGAACCAGGGAAGTAGAGGGTGCAAATCCGCCTTGAGGCTGCTGGACTTCTGGCCTGGCTGTTCCTTGCTGTCCTCTTGTTAGAAAAGGCAGAGCTGGCTGGGAATAGGTTGCAGGGTCCTTCCCAGGGGAGATAGGCCAGAGTGAAGGGCAGGGCGGTGTGACATCCCTGCCTGGTGAGGAGCAGACCTGCAGGGGCTTATCCGGGGCTGGAGAGGACACAACCAAAGTAACACGCAGCTTTGTTTAGCTCCCAGGTGCCCCGCTCGGCTTGTCTTCCCGAGGCGCCTCTGCTGTGCGGGCCAGTGCTAAAGGCCCTAAGGAAACAGAGGATACTGTTGGGTGGCAGAACAATGACACCAAGGCTCTGGGTCAAAATGTGAAGAAGTCTTAGGAACGCCTCACCTGCTTCACTTGGCCTGTCCCTTTCTTTTTTAAGTAATCAGTAGAGCGGCATGGGACCAAGTCTGCATGTGAATAAATCTAAAAGAGCTCCCACTAAGAATGAAAAGTTTCAGTGTCAACTTGTCCCATCACTAACGATGTTCACTATAGTCCCTTGATTAAGATGGTGCTGGCTGTGTGGCTGGAGTGACTTTGGCAGGGTTTAATTGGGCATTTTTTTCCCTTGATGGCATATTGAGTGATGTGTCTTACAATTGATGACATTATAGAGTCTAAGAAACCCAGTAAAATATTGGCAAGAACATAATACTAATAGCAACCAGGGCTTGAGCGCTTACCCCGTGACCAGTGTGTCTGATGGTTAGACCCAGGCTATGCATTTTTGGCCAGAATAACACAGAAGGGAGGCCGGATGCTTCTCAGGGTGTCCTATCAGTTTCAGTGCCAACTTTTCCCCTCTGATCACTTGGTTAAGATGGTGTCGGCCAAGTTTCTCCATTGTAAAGTTACTTTCCACCGACCCCACTGTGATTACCACGTATTTCCTCTTCTCACTTCCACTGATAATTTCAGTATGCAATGGTATTCTTTAATTAAAGTAAATATTATCCTACGATCCTTGCCAAACGGTGGTTTTTAAAATTCCATCATTCCTTTTGCATTGAAAAGGAATGCTAGTGGTTGGCATGCTACTTGAGGAAGAGCTTTATTTCCTTCTCATGTTCTAATTCACTTATTTAATCAGTGCGGACTCAGATTTCTGTGCTATTATGATGTCTGATAATTAAGTTCACCAACTCATCCGGTCACCTTCAAAGTACTCCCTTTGGGAAGCTGTGCACTGATGCCAGTGCTTAGTCCACCCTTCAAAGCAATTTTGGAACTCTTTTTCTGGAATGGCTGTCAGAGCTGTCATTGTCCTGAACGTCATCAAAACATCTTCTTTTCAATATTTTCTTTATCTTCAGGCAAAGAAAAAAGTCATTGGGAGCCAGATCAGGGGAGCAGGGAAGGTGTCCCAGTACAGTTATTTGTGAACTGGCTAAAGACTCCTTCACAGACAGTGCGGTGTGAGCTGGTGCATTGTTGTGATGTAAGAGCCACACCTTTCACATGCCAAGATTTTCAGTGAAGATTTTCTTGTTTCTCTATGGACATTCACTTGGTCTGCTATGCTCCTCACAGTCAGCTAATGATTTTGGTGCACAATTTGATGAATTTTTGCGATGTCTTCATCATTTCTGCTTGTTCCCAGACGCCCTGACCCCTCTTTATCAGTGACACTTTGTCTCCCCTCAGAAAAATATTTAATTCATCATACACTGCCATTTTCTTCATGGCATTATCCCCATAAACTTGGACTAACATGTCCCTGATTTCACTTCCCCTCTTTCCAACTGGACAAGAAATGTAATGTTTGTTCTTTGTTCTCATTCAAGCTCTGACACTCTCACTTGTGAGGGCATGCAAAAATATGCAACAACAATGAACACCACTCAGCAAGACACCAGCACACATTGACATGAACACAGCTATGAGACACTGGTATACCAAGGTTTTGAAACCTTACCAAGTTGTTTGTACAGTGCTGCCAATGTAAGCACGTGGTGGCAAGTTCTTGAACTTAATTGTCAGACCTCATAAATGTTTTATAGTCAGTTATAATAATTGTTTCTTTTAATGCTTAAATTGTCACAGCTTTGGCTCTTGTGTACTTTTGATATCATTCTTTAAGACCTTCCTGACTTTCAGGCTCCTTAAGATGCTCCAGCCTCAGCTTGTACTTTTCCTGCCCTAGCTTTGGACTTGGGCATTTCTCCAAGAAGCTCTGGTTTCCCTGAATGGAGAAGGTATTTAGAGCCAAGATCTAAGCACAAGGTGTGCTTGTTCCCTGTGGGGAGGGTCACTGCCTTCAAGCCTTTCAGTGTACAGAGCTGGGAAATGGATGAATGAACATGCATATTTATAGCTATGTTTTTTTTCTGTATCTGTTGTTCTGAGAGCTGTAAGTTCACACTGATAGTGCAATTCCAGTCCTTCATGGCAGGGTTCTTTCTAGCATTTGCCCTGACTACATCTCTACCTCCCTTCTTGGTATTGTTGTCTCTGGAATGTTTACTTAGTTGCTCCCTTTCCTCCCCAAGTCTCCTCCCCACTTCCTTGCATGTAGCCCACCTCCCTGCTGGGTGGGCCCTGCCCTGCACTGATAGCCCCTGTTAGGGGTTAGATTGTACCTCCCAAAGAGATGTGCTGAAATCCTAACTTCCAAGATCTCAGAATAGGGTCTTTGCAAAGATGATCAAGTTAAAATGAGGCCTTTAGGATGGGCCTAATCCAGTGTAACCAGTGTTCTCACAGAAGAGGGAGGTTTAGATACAGATGGCCCTAAAGGGGAGGCAACAAGAGGACACACTGGGAGAAGGCAGCATGGGACCAGAGTGGTGTGTCTAAAGCCAAGGGTCACTAAGGATTGTCAAGGAACCATAGCAAGTTGGAAGATCTGGGAAGGATTCTCCCTTAGCGAGATCAGATAGGACCTGCTGGCCCCTTGAGTTTTGGGATTTCCAGCCTCCGGGACAGAGAGGGCTTGTTGTTTTAAGCCCTCTCTCCCCTGCCTTTTGCTAGGGCAGCCCTGGAAAATTAATATCGCCTCCTTGTATGAGTCCTGGCTCCAGCTGGGCTGGCTCCTAGGATGCTGCCTAATGACATTGCATGAAAGGGAAGAAAGAGAGAGAAGGCAATTAGAATCAGAATTTTAATACAGACCCATCTGTATCCAAAGTCTGTGTTCTTTTTGTTGTTATTTGAAAATGTCTTTATTTGCTTTTATTTTTGAAGGATATTTTCAATATATATACAATGGCAGGATTTTTCACCCTTTAGTAGAGCTAATCCATTGTCTTCTGGCTTCCAGTGTTTCTAACAAAACATCTGTGATTACTCTTAACTTTTCTCTCAGAATTTCATATTTCTTTTTTCTCTTTGACTGCTTTAAAATGTTTCTCTTTATCACTGGCTTTCAGAAATTTGATTATATGTCCTTTGATATGGGTTTATTCATTTTTATGTTGCTTGGGCTGATTGATACTTTTGGATCTGTGGGTTACAGTTTTCATTAAAATTGGAAACATTTCAGAAGTCCCTTCCCTCCCTCCCTTCCTTCCTTCCTTCCTTCTTTCCTTCCTTCCTCTCTTTTTTTCTTTCTTCCCTTCAAAACTGAGTCTCATTCTTTCACCCTGGGTAGAGTACTGTGGCATCATCATAGTTCACAGCAACCTCAAACTCCTGAGTTCAAGCCATCCTCTTGCCTCAGCCTTCCAAGTAGCTGGGACTACAGGTATGCGCAATCATGCCCAAAGTGTGTGTTCTTAATTATTCTGCTTTTTCTACAGACTACTAGGAAAGACTAAAATAAACCTATTAGCAAGCTGATCTTAATATCAGGTGTTGGTATACTCTGGCCCACAGGACCAAGATAGACTGTGGACTGTTTTTGT